TTTTTTTTTTTTTTTTTTTTTTTTTTTTTTTTACTTACCCGCTCAGCCCGGTGCCATGGAGTCTAGAAGATCAAGCTGGGCGGTGGTTTTGGAGACCTTATTGTAAAAATATCTTTTTTGTTTGTTTGTTTAGTTGGGAAATTTGGGGATTATGGTGTTGTCTTTGTTGTTACCTTTTTGTAAGTTACACTCTCATGGCATTTTCTGCTCCTTCCACTTCTGCAAACTTTCCAGGGTTGGGTTAGCAAAAAGGCGGCGTCGCTGAGGACTGTTTACTGCTCTGGATATAGCAATGGTGTGATCGTCATTAAGAGACAAAAGGCGAAAATACACAGTCAAATCAAACAAAAGGCAAAAGAGACACCAGCCACCCAACCACCATAGAAAAGACTCCCAGCTAACGTTGGTGTTTGGCTCGAACCAGCTAGGACTTGTTTTCCAGTTTTAATCTAGTTTCCTGTGACGGCTTTAGTCTCTCCACACAAAGAGAAGGTCTTCCTTTCCCTCACCCCCCCACCCCCCCACCAAAGACGAGAAAAACAGAGCTGTTTTTCTTCAAATAGATCGATTTTCAAAAAAAAGTGTACAAGCTACTGGGAAGAAAGCTGACTAGCATTTATTGCTGTAAACATTTTCAAAAGCGTAAAGCTAAAACCTTAGCTTTATAAAAGCAAAACCGTCTCAAAGCATTTTAACTGGCTTATTTAGACAAGAGAGACAAAGACAGACATGCAGATGAAAGTTCGGAAAATTAAGGACATCTCAGCAACATTAACATGAAAACTGCACTGCGTAAGGACAGAATGGATTGGGTACTTACAATGTAAAAGGTTTTTAAAAACTTAAAAGAGTAACAACTGCTCACAATTTTTTGTTGCTGCCATTTCGCTAGTCCTGAAACTATACATTTAAAACATTACCTTGTTAAAAAGAGAGAAGGAGTTAATAAGATGGCCAGGTTTAAGTGTTTAATAGAGGAAACTATATATATTTAAAAATTTATTGTTCAGTCAAGAGAATACAGATTAAGACAGCTCCAAGCTCCCACCACCCACCCAAAGAAAAAAAAGAGGAAAAAAAAAATTAAATATGTCATTTACTTAGTTTTTTGGAATTCAAAACTGTTAACTGCTGACATTAATGGTGTGCTATGACCTAGTTATACAAGACAAAGATGGATTCCAAAGTCATAAGGAAAAATCCAGATCTTTTAAAAAGGTCTTCTCCATTTCTTCCAACTGTGAGTCCTTTGGCCTGTTGACAAATGTTAAACAACACACTGAGGCGTCCTGAACTGGATGGTGGAGTCAAAGGAAAAACATTCCCCATTTGCAACAAAGGAAAAACCCACTTGGCCATTTAATTCCATTGCAGAAAAATGGCTCCCCTCATCTGTTGGCCTCTCCTTGGTGTCTGATGAGGGATGTTTTGAGATCAGCGTCTAATAACGCAAGCCCTATAGAAGCCGCGCGCTGATTGGCTGCCGCGCCCTGCCGCCCCGCTCCAGCCAATTACCTACCCACGGCCAGATTACAAACCCCGAAAAGAGCCCCAATGTGAGGTGCACCGCCACGGAGCCCCAGCGAGGCGGCTCCTTCGCCTCGGCCGCCCGGGAGGAGAGGCAGAGGGGGCTGCGAGCGCGTCCTCGCCGAGCCCGGGCGCCTCGGAGTTGAACTCACAAAATGGAAGCCGCGCGCTGATTGGCCGCCGCCACTCCCGGACCTTTAATAAAGAAAGGGGAAGGAAGCGATACATGCAAAAAAGGGGGACTCTCTCCTCGGCGGGTGGCCGGAGGAAGAAGGGGGAGAGGCGTGTGTCCAGGACAATTGCCGAGCGCTCCCCTCCAGAAATAAAAACACGGGAAAAAGCTTCTATCACCCAGGTCCAGGCCAGGGCTGCATCCTCCCAGGAATGTGAATGCTAATCTGGCTGAAATGCCGGCTTCCCCTCCCCAGCCCGGCTCCGGGGGGCGGGGGGCGCGGGCCCGCAGAGGAAG